AAGGAGGGTGGGGAGAGAAGAGGCGGGACCAGGGACAGGGGCCTTTAGGACAGTTTGGGCTGCCCTCCTAGGGGACTGCAGGGCTACAAGGGGAACAGGTTCCTTTAGAGGGAAGCAAGCACCTTGTCAGTGAGGTGTGTGAACAGAGGACACGGCTGCCCCCTTGGAAGTAATGTCACGGGGAAGAAAGATGCTTTCTAGCCTCCAAGTCTATGACTCTGCTACACCCAGAGAGAACACTGTCTTCAGGACTTAACAAGCACAAAGAAAATCAGGCCATAGAGAGTAGCTGAGAGGAAAAGTACATGGGCTTGGGGTTGGAATCCTGGCCCTGGCTCTTGGCACTGTGTGACCTTGGACAAGTCACTCAACGTCTCTGACTCTTGCTTTCCCCATCTTTCAAAGGGGGACCTGCTGCTTACTCTGCACGGTAGTCACGGGGTTTGAATGAGAGAATATGTGGAAAGCACGGCTTGGCTCACGTGGATGCTCAGTAAAATGCTCCCTTCTTTTCCTCGGTCCCTTGAAGCAGGATACAGAAAGGGTGCCCTTCCTGCTCCCATCCTGACCTTGAGCCCCAGGCCAGGTGACCCGAAGACTTCTAGATTCTCTTTTCCTGAAGAGCATTACCTCCAGCAAAGACCTACCTACTGCATAGGTTTGAGGCTGGGGCAAGGTTCAGATGGCTTCTGGCTTGGAACGAGGTCAGGATGGTGGCCAGTAGAAGGTCACCCTGAGCCACCTGATGGCACCAAAACCAACAGGAGAGAACCGAGAGATCCGCTCATGCACACTCACAGAATTTCAAACCGAAAAGAGGTCTTAGACCAGATCCAACTCATCTTTCAGGCCTGGGAACTAAGGCCGAAGAGGAGGACGGCCGGGCTTGCTCAAGGTCACAGAGGCTGCAGCTGGAGGCAGAGCGGGACTCCAAACCCGGGCTCTTGAGAGCCCATCGGGGGCTCACTCCGCTCCACCGGCCTCGCTAGCTCCGGGAAAGCCTCCAACTGGGAGATGAGGCTGATGCATGTGCCCGATAATTGAAACAGGAGGCGGGGGCCGCGGAGGGGCCAAGACAAAGTGAGCTATTGATTGTATCTGAATTGCAATTAAATTGATGGGCCAGGATAGCAGGTCTGGACGCCTGGCATCTTAATTAATCATCAGCGCTATCGATGGCGGCTGGGGGCTGGGCGAGCGGAGGGGGGCCTGCTGTTGCTGCCGGCCTCATCGATCTGCTTGTTTGAGTAAAGCACATTGATTTTGGTTCAGAGCGGTAACAATCTGGTTTTGAAATAATAAACACCAACTCCATATCCAGACGTGGGGACAGGTCGATGGTTTATTTTTGGTTTAGTTTGAGCAGGGCAGGGAGCCCAGTCTGTGGCTTTGGATGCGAAGGAAGAGTGATGGTGTCCGTGGGGATGCCTCAAGGGGACCTGGCTATGGGCAGGTGGGACCCTGCCCGTTCTCCTAGCAAAGGAAACAAGGGCAGAAATCCGGCAGCTCACAACCTCCCAGGAAAATGAAACCCGACTCGAGAGGCATGAACTCTGGAAGCTGGTCCGTGTGGGTCAGATCTCGCTCTGCCACTCGTGAGTTGTGTGACCTTGGACAAGCTGGTTAACCTCTCTGAGCCTCAGTCTCCTCTTCTGGAGATGGTAATGGTACCAACATCTCAGGAGTATTATGAGGATTAACTGAGGAACGTGTAGGGTGAGTTCAGAATGGGTGCCTGGTTGCTATAAATATTTTAACGAGGTTGAGCAGTGGCCCCTTGAACAACGTTAAGTTCCAGCCCCCGTGCAGTCAAAAATCCGAATATAATGACTGATAACCTGCTGTTGACCGGAAGCCTTACTGATAACATAAACAGTCGATGGACGCATTGCTGTGTGCGATGTGTGGGACATACCATATTGTTACAGCAAAGTAGCAAATGTTATTAAGGAAGGCAGAAGGAAGAGAAAATACACTTCTCGCACAGCACTACACAAAGCCAGCGTCTAGGTGGACCCATACAGCTCAAACCCGCATTGGTCAAGGCTCGGCTATAGCTGTCACTCTCACCCTTTCCAATCCCTCCTGAAAAGGGTCAGGCTGACCTTTCTTGGGAATTTTAAGTGCCTCAGAAAGATCTAGCACCTCATTTCTCACTGTGGGGGCGGGGTGGGGGGGAGTATGGCCCAGCCCACTCTCGGAGGTAGTTAGCGCCTCCAAGCGGAGGCTCTATGTGGGCACAGGTCTGCTGCTGTGGGCAGAGCAGGGAAAGGGGAAGAAGGGGTTGTGTGGAAGCCGCCTGTGGGGAGGGGATGAAGAGGACTGGAATACAGAAGGGAAGGGAGAGGAGGAAGAAGGGAGTCAGCCAGGGTGGGAAGAAAAAGAGAAAGGAAGAGACTGGGCTGGAGAGAACCCCTGCCCGCCCCCCCCACCCCCTCCCAGAGAAGAGATCTAGGACCAGCCCAGAGACGGGAGGGTGCAGTACCCCTCTAGCCTGGCAGGTCATATGTGGAAGGTGGGGAGTAGGGGGAGCAGCTCTGGAAGACGGAAGTAGGAGCAGAGAGGGACCCTCCCCACCTTGGCGGTACATGCGCATGGCGTCCAGCAGGCGGGAGCCCCGGAGCTGTGCACGAAGCAGGGGTACGTCCAGCTGCAGAAGTCCGGCCTCACAGTGCTCTCCTGTGGGCAGGTCCAGCTCGCTGCTGCTGCTGACTCGGCGGGAGGCTGTAGACCGGGGCTCCCCAGCCCAGCCCTCTGCTACAGGCAGGAAGCAATGCACAAAGTGCAGCTTTGATTTCTTGATGGTGTCAATGAGGGCGTCCTGCCAAAGGGAAAGAGACAGGCCTCAGTGGCTCCTGGTGGCCCGGCTGGTGCCCAGGAGAGCGTCTCCGCTCCTTGTAGGATGGCAGGTGTCCCGCCGCTGGCCGAGATGGGCCAAGCCTGGACAACTCCACCTTCCCGAGGCCTGAGGGGCCGCTTAGGCAGTGGCACTGAGCAGAGGACCCACCAGCAGCGATTAAGTCCAGGGGGAGGGATGCTGAGTGGGTACCGGGTAAGCCAGGGCTCCCCCAGAATGGCCAGAGGAGCCCCGAGAGGGCCCTGGGGCTTAGACCGGCACACTCACCACCTGCAGCTTAATCTGGATGCACACTCACCACCTGCAGCTTAATCTGGATGCATAGTGACTTCTTCTTGACAGCCGCCATGCCCGTTGTGAAGGTCTTCCGCATGCTGGTGGCCCGGCGTAGGGCCAGCTGCGAGCCACCCTCCAAGCCGGCAATGGAGCCCGACAGCACCGTGGCGCTGCCCGCCCGGCCCAGAAACAGATTGCTGATGATTTTCCTACCAGAGGTGGAAGGGCAAAGGAGGGAAAGAAGTCACTTTGAGAGACTAGGAGAGGGCGGCTTCCCTGCTCCTAAGACACCCCCAAGTCCCTTATATCGCCCTGGCTAGGGGTCTGGATTACCTGGCCTGGGGCTGCATGCCCCACACCCTAGAGAGAAACTGGAGCGGAATCAACAAACAGGAAGAAGACAAACCGGTGGTGGTGGGGTGGGGGACAGAAGTGTGATTTTCTCTTCTCCATCACCAGGGAGGCCAGAGGTCCAGGGTGCCAGGAGAGATTAGAGCCCAACACCCTCTATCATACCGTATAATCTGTGTATGACATCTACTGGTTGTTATCTGCCTGCCCTCCCCGCCCCCTGCCCCCAATTGGGCAGTGAGTTTTGTTTTATTTACTTTATTTATTTTATTATATTTATTTATTTTTATTTTATTTTACTTTATTTATTTATTTATTTATTTCATTTTACTTTATTTGTTATATTTATTTACTTTATTTGTTTTATTTACTGCCATCTGCCAGGTACCCAAGAAAAAGAGTAGGTGCCCAATAATTATTTGCTAGATAAACAAATGGATGACAGGCCTTAGGGGACTGAGGGGTTTCTAAGGCTACTCCTGCCTTCTTTTAGAAGTTTTTATTTGTATCTTATTTTATTTTTTTTTAGTAAATTTCTACACCCAGTGTGGGGCTCGAACTCATAACCCTAGGATCAATAGTGGCATGCTCTTCCGACTAAGTCAGGTGCCCCATTTTTTAAAGTGTTTTTGCGGGGCGTCTGGGTGGCTCAGTCAGTTAAGCATCTGCCTTAGGCTCAGGTCCTGATCTCAGAGTCCTGGGATCGAGCCCCGCATTGGGCTCTCTGTTCAGTGGGGAGCCTGCTTCTCCCTCTCCCACTCCCCCTGCTTGTGTTCCCTCTCTTGCTGTGTCTCTCTCTGTCAAATAAATAAATAAAATTTTTAAGTGTTTTTGTTTTGTTTCATTTTGTTTTATGTGTTACTCCTGCCTTCTATGAAGAATGGGGGGGTGCAATTCAAACTTCAAACTATAGGTCCCTCTAACCAGGCGCATCCCACTTCTACTCCAGGAGGCCACCCCCCAGGCTCCCAAGACCACTTGGCCCTGGCTGTTCCCTCTCCGGAAACCAAAGCCATCAACCCTGCTGGCGAGGGGGCCTCTGAGACCAGGAAGCCCAAAACCAGCCCCGGGGATGGGACATGGGCAGGGTGAGTGGCGTTCTTACTTCTGGGAGTCCTGCAGGAGCCGGGGGGCGTTCTGGGTGGCTGGGTTCTGTTTGGTGTAGCTCAGCCAGCCAGCCACATTGTACTCAACCCAGTTGGTGCCATGGCTGTGGCCCAGAAGGAAATGGTGTGGTTTGCTGCTGCGCAGGAGGGGGCTTTGGCCTGGGGGTGGGAAAAGGAAGGGTCAGATCGTCAGGGCAGAGACCCCGAAAAAGCCCAGGGACTCAGTGAGACCTTCTGGGCAGTACTGTCTCAACTCATACAAGTGGGTCCTCAGGAGAGGAAGCCAAAGGACCCTCCAGGGGTCCTACCTACCTTTTTTGTCGCCTTCCTGGGGGCCATAGTAGGAGAAAAGGCGCTCCAGGAGGGCATCCTCGGTGGCCCCTGGTACCAGTGCCTCCTCCTCCAACAGCCAGAGCAGGCCCCTTGCCTCCTCGGTGCGTGCCAGCGAGCGGACCTGCAGAGAAGTGAAGAGAAGCCACCGTGTCCCAAGGAGCGCCCGGCCCAACCACAGGCTATAAACTTGCTACACATGCGCACAAGTACACACCCCGATCCCAGGTCACACCCTGTGGGGCAGCTGGGCAGTGAGGGGGAAAAGGGAGCCGGACGGTGTTAAAGAGAGAAGCCCACAGCAAAATCTCCCGCCTAGGAATTGTGTCCAAAGTCACCAAAGGCTGAAGGCTTCTCGTGAACCATCCTCATCCTCTCAGAAGTCACAAGGGCTGTGGGTGAGCCCAAGGCATCGCCTCCCAGGCGGATGAGATGAGATGAAGTCTGGAAGGCCACGGGCAGGGGGCATGGGCCAAAGGAAGCTGTCAGCCAGCAACAGCTGTGGGGTACCCTAGTCCCCCAAACAGGGAGGATCCCAGAGAGGAGGGCTTTGAGCACAGGTGGGACTCCTGCAGGGTCAGAAACTCAAGTGCAGGAATGGGCGGAGTCGGGGTGATGGCAGAGCACCTGTCCCCAGCTACAGGGAAGGGCTGCCTGTCAGCTGCAGCCAGCCGCTGTCCCGGAATAACACTGGCCTTGTAAACCCTCCAGCTTTTAAGAGAATTCTGATTTCAAAAACCCCATGCAGGCCACACAAACCAAGCCTGTGGCTGCATCTGGTCTGATCTGCCTTTTCCATGACATTTCCAAGACTTCCTTGAGCGAGGATGGAACCTTCCTTACACCCCATTCCTGCCTGGCCTTTGGGGACCAGGGAAATAAGAGAAGTAAGAAAAGTGCCATTTCCCCCCCTCTTTGCACCCAGTTGCCTGCATCTTCCCCCCACCCCATGGCTGCCTGAGGGAGTCAGTGTGACTAGCAGGAGGAAGCAGAATGTGGCCAAGGATGGATGGGGAGCTAAGGTCCAGAGGGTCTGGAGCTGCACGGCAGGACCAGGCAATGAAGCCATGGGACAGTGAGTGGCAGACGCCACATCCAGGGGCTCCTGTCCCCAAAGGTGCCAAGGTCCCTCAGACAAGGAGAGCAAAGAAGGGAAGAGACGGCCAAGTCCCATCCAAACACACTATCTGATACACTGTCCCTTCTAAGCCACATGGACTGACTCCCCACATCTCTTGGGAGTGGCAAAGGCTCTCAGTGGAGGCCAGCATGGGAACCCAGATGTCAGGAAAAGAAAAGCCAGCTTCCCTTAGCGGGGACATGGAACTTGGGCACTTTAAGTACTAGTCCCAGGGGACACTCACTCTCCCTTGGGCCCTACCCCCTTGTTAGCACAGCAGGGCCTGCCACAGGGAAGAGGGAGGAGGAGGCAGGGGTCGAAGCAGAGGATGGGAGCAGCAGCCTAGCAGGAACACCAGTTCTCTAGTAAAGTGCCTTCTGAAACTTCCCTAACTGAAGACAGTCAGCAGAAGCCAAGTGCTCATCAGGCCAACCAGGCCCCCAGGCAGCAGAGTGCCCAAGATCCCTGTTCAAAGTGTGACAAAGCCTGTCCCTAAGGTGGAGGGGTGAGGGGTGAGGGGTGAGGGGCGAGGGCTCCCATTTAGAGCTAGGCACAGATTCCCTATTTGCACAGACTCCTCACCCACTCTGCACCCATCTTTTGGGGACAGCGGGAGGGATGACTCTATCCTCTGGGTCCAGCCCAGCTCTCACCACCAAGGGGGAGACACCAGGCTCCTGGCAGACACACGTGAGGCTCAGCCAGGCACAGGACAGGGGCACAGGACAGTGGCTGAGGCTCTCACCGCACCAGGGCAGAAAAAAGTGCCATCGTCCCGGCCAGACCGGCCAAGCAGCAGCAGCTAACAGAGCGGTGAGGGCTCAACTGAGGGATAGGGACAGACGAGGGGAAGAAGGTCAGCCCAGGCCCTCGCTACAATTCCTACCAGGGACTGATGGGAGGCTTGGTCCACAGCTGCCACGGAATCATTCACAGTGGGCTCCAAGTCGTCAAATGCCAGCTCGATGTTCTCCTAGGAGGGAGGGGAGAGAAGTTGTGAGCGCAGGCCACTTGTAGGGTGCAGCCCTATGCTGAAGGCCAGGAGGGGGCGCTGGGCCAGCTGGCCCACCCTTCCATCCCTCTCTGGAGCTCCTCCCCTCCATCAGCCCCTCTGATAAGCGTTTACCACCTTCCAAGACACCGCATGGCCTTTCTGGACAGCTAAAACTCGTTGAAGCTTCTTTAACATCGAGCAAAAGTCCCCTATTCCTGCTACTCGCACCTGTTGACGAGACTACACAGCATAAGCCTACTCTTGACTTCACACCGTCATCCTTGAAACACCTGGAGACAGCTGTCATTTGCTTCCTGAATCTTCTCTCATGCAAGATAAATATCCTCCCCAGTTGATTCATCTCACCTGCCCATGAAGCAGGATTTCTAGATCTTGTCCCATCTGGGACACCCTTCTATGAAGGGGCTCTACATAACCAATCACCATCTTAAGAGATCGGGAGCCAGGGAAGGCCTGGCCGGACCCACACGGACGCAGGAACTGTGGGGTGGCAATTCATGGGGCCTAGGTGGGTGCCTCGAGGGTGGGCAAGGAGGGGTTCTCAGGGCCCCGAGTACATCTGCAACTTCCTGGAGAGCAAACTCTCTACAAAGGAAGGACGCAGTCTGAGGCAGGACAAGACTACCGCTGCGGCGTGCACAGGGAGACAGAAATGACAGAGAGCAAAAGTGGGGAAAGTGGGGCCTGCCCTCTTCACCTTGTCCTCCCTGTGGGTGCCAGGAGGCTGAGGGGGGGCGGGGGCGGGAGGGGGACGTCCAGCTGAGGCAAGGTCAGTGTTACCTCCTTGTATCTTTCTAACTCTTGCACAAAGGTGCGCTCGTGGAAGAGTCTCTGCAGCCGGTCCTGGGCGTAGTTGTGGCACAGCTCCTCAAAGGATGCTCCGCGGGCTGACCCACCCTGCTCCGGGTTCTGGAAGCCTGGAGTGTCCACAATCATCATAGAGCAGAGCGAGTGCTGGCTGGACTTGAGAGCCCTTCACAGGGAGAGACTGGGTCAGGCCTGGCCGGGGCAGTGCTGCCAAACAGGCCTCACCGGTCTGCCCGTGGCACCCAGGCAGCCCTCTTCTGCCCCAGACAAATCTCCATCCCTGCCCTGGTGCCCAGGACCCTGGTGGTGCTGGGTGGCGGAAGGCGGGAAATGCACCTCTCCTCGCCTGTGAGGCCAGGGAGCCCCCTGCTGGTGGAGAATGGCGCTGCCTCGGCGATCCCACCAGCCCTGAGGCCTCAACTCCCCCTTTGTCTCAGCAGGAGGCCGGGCAGCTCCTGGCCAACCCCCACTCACCTGCCTCTCACTCACCTGTTCACCAGGGAGACGAGAAGGGTGAAGAGCTCACTGTAGAGGCCAGACGCCATGCCCTCTAAGCACTCCAATGCGCTCAGTTTGGGGCCTGAGAGGCAAGAACATCAGCTCTCCCTCCAGCCCCTGGGGGTCCCCATGGGGGGTATACTCTCTAGTCACCCAGAATCAAGTCAGCATGGGGCCCTGGGGCTGGGCCTCTCCCTCTGAAGGAAGCATCTATTTGCCCCAGTGGTCTTCCCCAGCCAGAGCAGACCGCAGTGAGGCCTGGCTGGGGCCCCCCAACCACATCCACCTGCCAAGGGGCTTGGGCACCTGTGCCGTCTCCCAGGCTGCTCTCCTCAGGGCCCTGGCGGAAGGAGGTGGAGCGCTGCAGGGTGCCGCCCTTATGCTGGTGCTTGAAGATGGCTGAGGACAGCTCCTCCAGGCTGCAGCCCAACAGGTATGCGGCCTTCTGAGCCCACTCGTGGCGGGCAAACTGCCTGCGCCCAGCTACGGGGTAGAAAAAAAAGAAAGGATCTGGCATCTTGGGTCTTCCTCCTTAGTCCTTTTAATGACCGCTGTGCCCTCTGCTCCCATGGCCAAGAAATGGGGAGTGAGCATCTCTTGGGAGTTAAAACCAGCCCTGATGACATCAGAAGGGCTTTAGGCAAAACAGGGACTTCTGGTGAGCAAGCGAGGGAGTCTGGCTGCCAGCACTTCCGGTGTCCCTTGAGGTCCTAAAAGAGGAGGGAACTCCACACTGCTGCCACCAGAGGGCACCCAGGCAGCTCCAAACATCTCTTAGACGGCCTGGCCTTAGGGATGCCAGCACGGGGAAGGACAGTCAGAGGGTGAATCGGGCCCCCTGTGATGAGCACAAGGGCCACTTGTGCCTGTGGGGGACACGTCATGAGAGTGTTCTAGCACCTCCCCCTTCCTTGAATGCATCGGGACCCTCTCTCTCCCTTACCTCTAGGCAGCTGCCAGGGGAGACCACTGCCACCCGCCCGCGGCCCAACAGTGGGGAAGTGGAAGAAGCCGCAGGGGAAAGGGAACAGCCCACGCAGACAGACGTGCCTCAGCCAACATGTGTCTAATCACAGCAATTAGGGAAAGCTAACAAGAGACAAGGTTTTACCTTCAGCAGCTTCTTTAAGGCAAAGGACCAGCATGCAGCATGCAAAGAAAAACAGTGTGTTAGCAAACAGTCATCAACAGAGCCCGCCAGGCTCACGGGAAGGGACTGTGGTGGTGGTGGTGGTTGGGGGGGTTTTGGAGGGGGTTCGTGAGGATGAGCAGGCGAGAAAACGGAAGCACATTCAGACTCAGACACAAAAATACACACAAGCGTACACACACAATCTCAAAGCAGAACGTTTATGGATGTAATTACGCTCACTCACTCACACACACACACACCTACAAAGACACCACGCACAGACACACACGGACAGACACACGTGCACACGTACACGCATCCTCTGGAAAATAAATGGAAGCTCTAAGGAGGTAACAGACCCTGCGCGACAAGGCACGCGTGATCTGTCCGCAGGCCGGCAGTGCTGAAGGACTACAGGTTCATAGGGAACCTGGTCTCCGTGCCTCCCCAGAGCGGAAGAACTTCCTCAAGACACAGCCACACGCTTACCCCTCTGCCCACCTACTCAGTCTGGAGACAACTTCTTTAACCCAGAGCCTGCTTTCTCTTTGGCAGGGATGCCTCCGCTGGGATCGCGAGGACCAGACTCCTCACCACCTGCTCCTCTGAGCTCCTGCCTGCCTGCTCTCCCACCAGTACCCACCCACGAGTGCTTTCTCTTTCTCGCCCCTGCCCCAACAGCCTGGGGCCCTTCACATCCCTGAGGAAGATGGAGCCTAAGCCCAAGGCGCTGTTCAGAGGCAGCGTCCCCCTAAGAAAGGAGAGGAAGGGGTGAAGAGGTGCTCCGAGTGCCGGCCCATCGCCGTAATGGCCCATCGCCATGATCTCAGAGGAAGGCAGCAGGGCTCCTCCAAGCCAGGCCAAGCTCGAGCCATTCACAAGCCCCCAAGCCCAAGTGCAGAAGCGGCAGCCCACTGGTTACCGCGGTGCCTGCTGCCCCCTAGTGGTCTCCACCCTGCCATGCAAGAGGAGGAGACCCCTGCTACCAAACCGGTGAAGAGAAGGGAAGAAGACTCAGGGAAAACTGGCCTCGGAAAGCCCCAAGACGCAAGCCCACCCTACCCCATCTGAGCCCCATGGAGGACATCCTGAGAGGTCCCGGGATCAGGAGGCAAAACGAGTCGGAGCGGCTAGGCCTGGGATGCTGAAAAGCCTCAGGGCCAGCAGGCACCCTCTCCCCGCTCCACCAGGGGCTTCTCCCAGGCCAGTCCCCTCCATTTGGACAGAACAAGCCAGTCCCCAGAGAGAGCCCAGGGCCACCACCAAGAAGGGACAAGGTGGCCTCTACCCCGCAGGGAGGGGCCAAAGTTAGTTACCCGCTTGCTCCTCGGGGGCCTCTGTCAGGGAGGGAATAAAAGGCAGAGTTATTTCAGGGGGACTGCTCTGAGTTAGGGCCCTTCTCCTCCCCCTCCGCCTCCGAACTGCCACCCCCCTGCTCTCCACAGTGTTCTGTGTCACTGCTGTCCAAGTCCAGGGGCAGAAATGCTTCTCTGGGTGCTCGAAGCCTTCTGCTCCAAGCTGGGGGACTGGGAAGACAACAGGGGAAGTCTGCTAACAGAGATGTCTATGCCGGGTGAGGACAAACGAACACAGGGGCAGAGCATCCATGAGCTCTCCCAGCAACAAGCTGCGTGGTCGAGACCCCTGGCAGGTTACCTTTGGTGGCGCCTGCAGCCCCCAGGTGGTAGATGGCAGCCAGGATGAGCCAGCAGGCTTTCTGTTCTTCTGGGGAGATGCCCAACACCTTCATGGCGGTCTGCAGCTTACTGAACTGCTGGGCTGCCTTCTGCTTCTCCTCAGGCTGCAGGGACAGACAGGCACGCAGGCACCACATCTCAGAGGTGCTGTCCCTCCCCGCGCACCCCCTGTTGCTGGGCCCTGGGAGGGCAAGGCTGGGGAGAGCTGCCCGGCTGCAGGCCAGCTCCTGGTCCTCCCACGGGGTGCTCCAGGCCACTGGAGGCGGCCCCACTCCCAAGGCCCAGGGCTGCCAACCCTGTCCCCATAGCCCCCTCACCTTGGCCAGTGGCACAATCCCAAACACATTGTTCTCTGCCAAGTGGTTCAAGTGAAGCTCTGTCCTAGGGGTACAAATGAGGCATCAGCACGGTGTGTGGTCCCCATGCCAAGGGCTATCTCTCTACCAGGGTGGAGATGGATGGATCCAGCTTCCAGACTCTTGAGTTCTGTCTGCCCATCAGACCCTACTGTCAGGCCAGAGGCCGCCACCTTCCCTAACTGGCCTGGACGCCTGGTCAGAGCACTGGGCTCCTTAGGCCAGGTCACCAGAGATGCTCTGGTGAGAGTGTCCAGCCAGACCCCTGAAAGAGAGCAAGGAATCTGCCTGCAGCGTGAGTCCAAACAGGACAGAGATCGGGTTCTCAGCGACAAGAAGACCTAAGGAGGATAATGTTCCGGAGCTGCTTTTATCCTTTTATCCTTTTTCCGCAGAATAAAGACAACAAGTCTGAGGGTCGAAAGGAAAGAGCCCAGCAGACAACCAGCCTAGACAGGAGGAAGGGCCAGGCTGAAGGGCGCTGAAAAAGGCCGGGCTTTCAGCTCTGGTGTGGACCCAACAACCACTCAGCCCCACACTAGCCGGATGACTACAGGCGAGTCCCTGACCACCCGTGCCTTGCTGTGCTTTCCTCTGCAGACCTGGTTTTGGGGGCCACAGAGGTCCTAGCAAGGCTCCGGGAACACTGAATTCTGTGCCCAGCGCTCAGGAACTCCCGTGGGGTAGCTGCCCTTAGCTCGGTCCTCATGTATGGCAAGCATACAGTAAACAGATGGGATGGGATGCAAGCAGGTGACAGGATCCAGGAGCCATGAGTGAGCTGGAGTCCAGGGCACCACCCCACCCCCAGCCCCGTTTCCTTGGCCCCATCTCACCTGAGGGTGCCATCCCCACAGGCCAGCAGGTAGTAGAAGACATTGAACGTGGCCTCACCAGCTGGGCGTCGAGCCACGCGCAGCTTCTCCAGAAGCATCGTCTATAGCACAGCATGGGAGGGTATGGGTGAAGGGAGTGGAGCCCGGTCAAGCCCCTCCCACCCCACACCAGAAAGAATGGGGCCCCTGAGAAGAAGCAGCGGCAGCTGACCCTCCACCAGAGGCTAGCTCCCCCCAGGCTTGGAAGAAGACAGGCCCAGCTCCCGGAGGGGCCCTGCTGCCCTGCCCAGGCCCCTGGGGAACAGTCTTCTTAGGGAACTTGGCACTTCGTGGTGAGATGTTTCATTTAGCCTGGTGGGGGTCAGCCTTGGCTGGACCTTACTTTACGGACAAGCCAGTCTTAACCTGGGTGAAATTAGCCAGAGAGAAGCCCCTTAGCACAGGGCCAGGACCCAGGAGTAGGGTGCAGCCAACCCCAAGGGTGGGCAGGACACTGAGGCAAGCCCCACTCAGGGCCAGAGGTGGGGGGGCAGAAGGCTGCAGGGACAGAAGACACTGGGGGCAGAAGGGTGAATGCCCAGAGTGGAGCAAACCAGCCCTGAGAGCCAGGGTCCATGTTTGTGGGGTAGAATCCCTGGAAAACCAGGCACAGGAGAGAGACTGGTTTCTATGCCCTGAGTCCAGGCCGATCTCTTACCACCCTGAAGGTCCCTCACCTGGATGGAGGCTGAGGCCACCTGGCCGGCTTGGTCGAAGTCCAGGGAGAGGATCTGGGAGAAGCGGGTGGCGTTGCCGTTCATGATGGTGGGGCTGTTCCCAAAGGCTTCCAGAAGGCTATACAGAGCCTGCCACTTCTCCACTGCAGAAGACAGGCCCGGGGCCATCAGGAAAGCCTCCAGAGGCCCAGCCCAGGCCTATTCCCCCAGCACGCAGAGGCTCGGTGTTACACTGGCCAGGCTGCCGGGCACAGAGGGGGTTTGGGGGACACAGAGAAGCCAGGGAGGAAAAAAGATGGCACCTACGAGGCCCTTCCAATCCCAGCCCCTCTCAGGTTTTCCAGGTGTTCTGTCTCACCGGAAAACACCTTGTTCCCACTGGTGCCCGCGATGGTGGCCAGGTACTGCACCAGATGCTGGCAGCTGGTGGTCTTGCCGCTGCCACTGGCGCCCAGGAGGATGACAGACTGGTCCTGGCGGCTCATCAGCATGGCCCTGTACGCGGTCTGGGCCACGGCGTAGACGTGGGGTGCCGTGTCCTCTCGCCGACACCCCTTGAACATGTGCATCACCTTGGGGGGGAGGGGGTTGGGGGGGAAGGGGTACGCTTCTTAGCAGGTCCCACTCCCAAGGTCCTCACTCTCAAGGTCCGCCTCTCTGGGCCTTTTACTTCCAGGGCGCTGAGGGACTCTGAGGCTAAGGCCATGTGTGGAAATGCAGATTCTAGTCCAATTCTGGCCTCTGTTGGAGGTTAGGGAGAGGGCCTCCTGTCCCCACCCCTGAAATGACTCCTCTTCGCCAGGTCAACTGTGAGAGCGGACAGGAGCCCAGTGGGACGCCAAGGGGTAGGCACGGAGCCAGGGAAGGTGGGGTAGGTAAGACATGGATGGGTTGGTGAGGCAGCAATGGTAGCCTCGGGGTTGCCGCACCTTCTCGGAGTACACGGCGGGGGCCCCCCGGGGGCTGAGGACGAGCAGGCTGGGGCCAGCGTACGTGTGCAGCAGGCTCGCACCATAGCGCTGGCGCAGTGTGTGGAGGACGCTGGACTCATTGAGGTAGACCAGCGAAGCCAGGTCTTCCAGACGGTCACAGGAGGGAGCATTAGCCTGTGTGACGGGACAGGCAGGCAGGCACTGAAGACGCAGAACCTGCCTGCACCGCCAGTGGACAGGCCCGTCCTGCCCAGACCCCTTCCTGTGCCCTCCACCTGCAAACCTTCTCCACATCATCCTCATCGACATCCAAGATGGCGCCGTCATGGTCCAGCTTCACACGCACCTTCCCTTCTGGCAAGCTTAGCTCCTCAGATTTGAGCTGACTGCCTGCAGAGTGGGGACAGACAGTCAGACACAAGCCTGGGGACCTCTGCCACCCTCTCTGGGCCCTCTGGGTCTTGCCTCCTCCCCGCCCTATCACGGGGCTCTCCTCACTCATCACCCAGGCCTCACCAGATCCAGAAGGCACACCCGGCCCTGAAAACTGAGAGGCCCACCCAGGTGTTCTGTTCCCTGGGCAGCTCCAGACTCACCCAGCGAGAAGCCATCCTTATGGACCAGCCACACCTTCTCTGTCTCATACCAGGCCTCCTCAGCGGCAATCTGCTCTTCTGTCTTCACCTATGGGGGTAGGGGGAATAAAAAGTCAGTACTTGTTCTGGAAAACAGAGTCAGGAGAGCAGGAGAGAGCAGACATGTGAAGGGAAGTGCTTCTGGAGGAGCCTCTGGGTAAGGGGAACAGTTGGGGGGCAGAAACAGAATAGGGGACATCGGAGGTGTCAGAGGAAGAAGGTGGGGAAGCCAGGGGATTGAGGGGTGGTCCTGAGGATCCCTGAGGTCTAGGACACAGAGTCAGGGACCATGCCAGCCTTGAGAGTCTGGAAGGACGGGGACACTCCGAACTCGAGCCCAGAAGACAACAGACCACAAAAAAGCAAACCAGGTGCCACCTTCCGCTACCCTCTTCCCCACTTCCCTGTGGAGCCTGTAGGGTTGGTGTCCTGAGCCCACACACCGCCTCCTGGGCCACCACCCACTGTTACTGTGACCTCTCATGCCCAGCTTCTGCCTTCAGCCCACCAACAGGCCCTCCTTCACCAAGCTGGGAAAGGATGCTTGCTTCCTCAAGCCCCAAGGAGAGAAGTGTCTACTATATTGCAACACGAGCTGTGGGTCCTGAATCCTAGCCTCGGCCTGGCCTTCCCTCCAGAGGACGTGCCCCCAGAGGCACATGACAGCCTTTCCACACCTGCCTCATGCCTCCTCAGAAGGAGAGGCGAAGGCCATGCAAGGGCATGAAATAGCACGGCCCCATACGTGGGGGGAGGAGGCTGGGAAGGACACGGGAAAGGCTTGCGTGCCACGCGGATGGGCAGTGGAGCAGCTGTGAGCCACAGTCGGTCTCTGAGAGGAGATGTGAGACTGAGGCACAGACACTGCTTTGTGTCACTGAGCTCCTGGGTGAGGAATCAGGAAGGACAAGGAAACATAATAAGTCTTTTCTTTGTCACATTTCTTGGAGCTGAAAGAAAAAGAGGTTGGGTTCTACTCCCAGGTTGGGTCCTGGCTTCACGTAACCTCCTCTTTCTTGCTGATGGCCCTTCTGTGTTCGAGAGAGAGCAGCTTGGACTACACGTGGCCCCCGACTCTGGGAATCATGGCCAGTGAAACCACCCTTCAAACAGGAGGACCGCTATGGGGCCAGCAACATTTTAAATTGTTAAATGAAGACATTTTAAAAAAGGAAAGGAAAAGCTAATTCTTCATTATTTGAAGAAATGTGACTTTGTAAAAAAAAGAAATCACAATGTTTTATTCTTTTTTTTTTTTCTCAAATCACACGATATAGGGGAAAACCTTTGTCTCGAATGGACACGTTTTATGGGTCAGGTGTTTGGAACCCGACAAACTAGGGCTCCCCCTAGGGAGGTCCTGCGGGGCCTAGAATTAATCCTTTAGAATGAATTCAAAACTACGTTTCCCAGACTGGCCAGCAGGTGGAGCCAGAGCATGCCACATCCTCACTGGGACTGTGGGTAGGAGGTGGGAGAGGCTCAGCCTCTCCGCTTTCTCTAGCCAGAAGTGAGCAGAATTGAAACTCCTAGAAACCAACACTCTTGCCAGGCTCTTGGGCTCCAGTGGTTAAAAACCATGTGCCACAAGGCCAGACTCGAGTGGTGACACTCCGTCTAGATGCTCCCAAGGGGCCTGATATAGAACTGCCCCATCTCAAACTTCGGGCATCACCTCCTCCAAGGATACCCCCAACACACACACAGATACCAGGTGGGAGCCAGAAGGGGAAAGAGGCCTTACACTCCAGCATGAGGCCCGAGCACAGACGCTAGCCCAGGTACGGGCCAGGGGTGGCGGGTGGTCACTGGAGGAAGCGGAGGGCTCCTGAGGGGGGCAGGAGCACCCTACCTGGCTGTGGACAGGAGAGGCGGCCTCAGGGTCCAGCTGACAGCAGCAAGCAAAGAGGAGAGAGAGAAAGAGAGAAAGAGGGGTGAAGACAAGCAGACCATCGGCATGTCCCCTTCAGCAAGCACTCTGGATCACGTGGGTGGGCTCTCTCTTGCTGCCCAGGGTGCAGGGTGGAGGTTGGAAGAGCTCAGGGGCCAGGATGGGAAGCTGGCCTGAGCAGTGAACTGTGCCCACTCCAGGAGGGGCCAGACCCGGAAGGAGAGGCCCAGCCTGGCGAAGAACCTGTTATCATCGGAAGTCTCAGAGAAGACGTTCTGCTAAGTCACTCACTGTGGCCTGGGCAGGAGTATGTCACTCTGCCTCAGGCCACAGTCTCCCCTGGGTGGGATGTCCAGTGCACCCTGAACTAGGATCTTTTATGAGCTTGTCAGGCCAGGCTACCTCCCCACACCCAGGGCTTGGGCCCCTTGGGTGGCTCTGGCCTTATCTCCAGATCAGCCAGTGTCCTGGAGATAAGTGGTCCCCTGGAGCTAGCAGACCCCAGAACAGGGCTGTCCCTGTCCTCCAAACACACACAAAGGTGCCACACCCAGTACCAAGGCTGTCCTTCCAGGCTGCCACCCCTGTGCAGAAGGCCATAGAACAAGTCTCAGAACAAGACCACTAGCAGGCCCAAGTCTAGGACCCCTTCTTCAATCCCCCATTGTACCCCTGTCCCACTCGCAGGCAGGCATACTATCCCATGGCAAACAGAGGCACCGTGCCACCGGGGCCACCTGCCCATGAACCAAGGGACTGTGGGCAGACCCTGGGGTCGGACTTCACCTGTCTCTGTCTATTTACTTAAAGACCTTTCTGAAGAGGAAGTGAAGTCGGCCAGGCCTTGGGCCTTGCCTATAAGGAATAAGCAAGGAGTTAACAGGCCCCAACTGGGCCTGGAGAGCCAGTGCATTGAAAGAGAGGAGCATGAGCTCCCTGCCTCACCAGCCACCAGGCCCTAGCACCAAGCCACGGCCTCCAGGGCAAGAGAATGGGGCCAGAGGAAGAGGCTGGATCCTCAACCAAGAGAGATCCCCTTGGCTGTCCCCTTCCACAGGCACAGGGCTCTGGGTCCCCTCGAGGAACAGGCCTCACCACTCAGACTCTCTAGAGAGCCCTTCCCTTATTTCTTCAGGTAAGAAGGCCATGTGATGGCCCCCAGGCTGCCACGGAGCCATCCTTCCATAGTCAGATGCTCCCCCCGGCACCCCCAACCCCCGACACCCACAGTCTGGCTGCCAGCCTGGGCACACAGGAGCACCAGGGCCTGGGGAACCATACACGAGAGGTGCCATTACAGAAGCTGTGAAGATCCTCTCAAGGCGCTGCTGGGCCTCCTCTGCAGGGGTCAGCTGGACCTCAGGGGCAGCTCCGGCCTAGGGGTTAAACCACCGTTAGTCCTGGCCTGGGGTGGGCGGCAGTGGGGCACAGCATGCCAAGCTTGTAGCCTAGGAAGCTGCTAGGGCCCGGTAGGCAAGTGGGGCAGGGTCAGGGGGGCAAGCCAGGCAACAACTTGAGTTTTTAGACTGTCAGATGAGAAAAAAAAGAACGGGTGCCTGGAAAGTCTGGGGTTCTTCCTTCTCACAGTCCTAACAACTTCAGCACCAGGATGGCCCTATTCCCCCATATACCCTCTGGCTCCTTCCCCTGGCCCAGGTGGCAGGTGGGTGAACTCCAGGTCAGGGTCCACCTCAGCCCCTAATTCCACCCTAGTGAGAGGGACAGGGAGCCAGAGGGAGGGCGGCCAGGCCCGGGAACAGGCACATGACACTCTCTGGCTACTTATAAGTTCTACTCAGGGGCTGACAATTTCCCTCATGGCCTGCCCATCAGGCCAAAACGCTCCTGCCAACTCTGGGGTGCCAGGAGGTGACTTCCCTGATTCCAAGGAGGCCAGCAGGGCTGGGAAGGCTGTTGCCTGCTCTTCTCTAAGTTCTGTGAAACCCAGGAAGAATGGAGTAGGGAATAAGGCAGGTTCTAGGAGGAATCCCAGGAGGAAGCAGTCAGGGAGGGCCTCTAGCCTGTGCCCTACCCCCCACACCCCCCACCCTGCCCTTCCTGCCAGAAGAGCATGAAACAGCCTGGGAGAAAGTGGCAAAACTTGATTCTTCCCCTGCCAAACCTCATGAGGCCTCAGAAGGCTCTACAAAATAGGGAAGTTTGGAGAGAACTGTCCCTGACCAAAGGACCAGCCATGTAGGCATCACCTTCCTTCCAAGGTCTTTCCTTCTGCCTCTCAGCCTCCTTTTCCACTGAGAGGGTACTTTGTGGACAAATGGGTCCTCGGATCCAAAGGGAGCCCACTGTGCCCATTTGCCACCCAGGCACAGGGATCAGGAGTCCTGCTGCCAGAGGGAACTGCGGGCCAGGCTTGAAGAAGGTAGTGATGGCAATGATGGCATTAAAACCACCACTAAGAGCATCGCTTTCTATGCCACCATCTGTGGGCACCCACCATGCCAGGGACTGGGCTCAGAGCAGTGTACCATTCCTCATCGTTACAGCAACCCTTCCAAGCTGGGGTTATCCCTTGCATGCAATTCCAAAATGCAAAAGCTCCCTCTCACCCCAACAAAATATTTTTTTCTTCTTCACTATTTTGGTGGCAAAACCTGTTTGTAGTCTAGCCCCCTGCTGTGTGAACAGTCATAGATTTTTCCTGTGGAAATATTTGTGCGGGTTACACGTTATTGCTCATTATGTAGGGCTTTCTAAAATACAAAAATCACTAACTTCCCAAACACTTCTGGCTCCAGGGGCTTCAGAGAAGGGACTGGAGACCTGGCCCATCCCTCCTTGGCAGATGAAGGTTGAGTGATGGGACCCTGCTGAGCTCCCACACAGGGTGAGCGGCTGGGGAGGTGAACACAGGCCGCCGGACTCCAGAAATTCTCTTCCTACCCCAGTGCTGATCTGCTAAGACTTTGAACCTCTGCTTGGGATCCAGAGCCCCTAGCCAACACCATGCAGCCTGGGAACAGGCCCTGATCCCACGCAAGAGGGTCGAGGAATAGCGGCATGCTGGTTAGCGGGACCCATCCCAGAGCAAAGGCTACCGCGGGCTCTGGCACGTGGCTGAGGAAAGCCATGCAGGCCCTCCACGGGCACCTGGCCGGGCCCATCGTCTCAGCCGAGCGGGCGTGTTGATGAGGCGTGGGAAAGCTGGCTGTGAGGGTGCCTGGCCCTCCCACAAGGGTGGTCGGGCGCGTGGGAGGTTAGTGACACACTGGGGTACCTCCTGTTGCATGTCAGGGGCCGGTGACTTGGAGGGTGGCAATCCAGGGAGGTTCGACTTCAGGCCGGTGGAGACTGGGACCGCCAGCTCTCCTGGTGGGACTGGGGAACTCTGCTTCTCTGGGATTTCGGTTTTGGCTGGGGAGCCTGGTTCCTGGCTGGAGGGCTTGTCCCCTTTTCCTGGAGACTGCCTGCCACGGGGCTTGTGGTCCTTGCCCTTGCCCCGAGACATCAGGCTTCGTAGGCCTGCGGAGAGCTCGTCCTTGGCTGCCTCCTTCTTTGCATCAGGCTTAGGTGGGGCAGGGGGAGGCGGAGGAGGTGGGGGAGGTGGTGGCTTGGGACCGGGTGCCGCCTTTTCTCCCCTCTTGCCTCGAGCTGGGTGCTCCTGGGATCGGACCCCCCTGCTCGAAGGCTCCTTGGCGCGCCCAGGTTCCTCGCCAGGCAGTACCTTGCTCACCACCTTCCTAACCGCATTTGCCACTCTCTGCCGGGACAGGCCCTGGGCCTCCTCGCTTGGGCCTTCTGCAGAGGTGGCCCCTGGGCCATTCATGGCGAGTGTGGGTGCAGGGTTCTTGGCTCTCTGGGAGGTCTCTGAGGGTACAGGGCTGGTGGAAGGCTGAGGACTCCTAGATGGGCCACTGCTGTCCTTGGAGCTGTCCTCTGGCTGGTCACACAAATACAGGCAGACATTAGCATCAGCCTTTGCGTCCCTGCCCACCCCGTGCAGAGGAAGGGAGAGGTGCGACCTCAGGCCTTGTCCTGGAATAGACCTTCCGTCCATCCAGAGCTCCAAGAAGCTCTCACCAGGAAGCCCTCAGTCCATCTTCCAGATGGTACAACTGCTCCTATGAGTTTGGCTTCTCTCTCACACAAAGCACAAGCAGGTACTGCTGTCACCTGCTGTCTACCCCTGAGCCTTAGCACAGGGCCATGAGATGCCAGCAGAGTGCCCAGAGGCCCCTGCTCTGTCCCAGACTCACTGGTCTACGTCAGGGCAGCAACCAAGCCCCAGCCCAGGGGAGCCCAAACACAGCAGAGAGAGCAAAGAGAGGCCAGACCACCGATTCCCGCCATCAATCCTAGGTCTTATTCTGAGGCTTCTTGCCTCCGGTCCCCGGTCTATCACTGTGCTTTCTGGGCAGTCAGACCCCAAACCAACCCATCCCAGCAAAGACAGCGTTCAGGGGGGCAATTCCTGGCCCCAGGATGGGCTGAGCTTCTCCTGCTCCTCTGGTTCGTGGCCATTGTCTACGGCTCATCTGAACTTGCAGGGGCTGCGGAGACCAGTGCGGGCCCGAGAAGCTTCCACCCCAGCCTGCTTTCTGCAGTTTTCCTCTTGCAAACCTCCCCAGGCCTGGAGGCCTCCCAGCTCCCAGAGTATGTGTACAGAATGACAGGACGAAGAGGAGGCAGCTGGGGCCCATGGAGGGTCACACTGAAGTGGCCATAGATCACCCTGCCCTAGAGCTGGGGCCCTGGCTCAGCCAGCCTCCCAGCCTCTGGGCACCCGACGGGCGTACACTGGCACACACTGCCCGATGCACCCACCCTTCCCCCAACACTGTTGGCAAGCGTCTGCAGTCCCAAGGGACAGCAACTGGGGAAAGCCAGGCTGGCTAATAGCAGGTCAGTTTCCTGCAAAGCCAGCCCTATTGCCTGAGTGAGCAAGGTCATCCTCCGGGGTGCTCCTTGCTGGTCAGGCAGAGCCCTGCCACTCAGGGGCCATGCTTGAGTCCCTGTTCCCCAAAACAACGACCTTGGTT